AATCATGGCCGGTCGCAGCCTGCAGATCATAATGGGTGCATGCATCACCAACTCGATGTGATGGACTGCTTGGATACCTTTCAGACGATATACCCTATTGGACCGGGTATCAATAGCAGAGACCCTATGGACTCCCCACTAAGGACACATTGTAGCTCACTACAAACCACCTACCCCTCTAATTATGTACTTTGGTGGCAGTTATGGCTAGTTACTGTTATGCTTGGTGCAATTATTGTATTTTCGATCTAATGTACGATCTAATGTACCTTTTTCTATATTTTGGTTCTACTTCCTATGCTGGTTTGAAAAAGAGAGGACCATCGAACCCGCAAGAAAGGATTTATTACTATCACAAATGAGTCCAGACAAACTGAAAGTACTAGATACGGGAAACTTATTTCTCTTGTTTATGCGACTGGTTGATACCTGGACTTGGACTGGCTCTTCCGCTTTTCCCCTTCCCTTTTGTCTTGAACAGCGATGCCGCATAGTTCTCTGCTGCGCTCAGCGTTCCTTTGAGCCCTCGTTTTGTTCTTGTCGTATTTGTTCCAGCATTCGTCGATGAAGGCGAAGCAAAGGTTGAACACTCACTCGAGTTGTTCGCAGACTCAGTCAGTCCGGAAGGCAAGGATGAATTTTCGTCGTTCGTTTCATGGCTTCTTCTGCTCTCAGATTCGGCGGAACGCACAGGGGTGCTTCTTCCACTTTTGGCAACCGATTCCTTGCGAGTTGCAGGCAAGGACGTAGCGAGAGGAAGGGAACCCCGACGTCTTGTATGACCCCCTGATCCTTCTTGCCCATCTAGTCGAGTGTTTTCTTCATTCTTTGATAAGAAAGTAGCTGTTGAGTGATACATAATATGGTTAGCGATTGTGGTGGTTGCCTGTGTAGACTGACCGGTGAGTATGGATGGTGAAACTTGTGTTGTCTGGGCTTGAAGCGCGGTATTTGGGGGGGAGGGGGCACTGTTGGTTGGAAGATTTGATGAATGATCGGTGGTTGTCCGAGACGGAGATGCACGATGCCCGTTGGTGAGCCTTGG